TGTCAGAAATCCAGAAGAGGAGCATCTGTGCTTTATTTTAAATGTCCCTGAAGGTTCCTAAAGAAACTAGGTTTATGACAAGTTCCTGTATCTTTGCTCAGTGCTTCTTGAGAAAAAGGCTTTTATCACCAGGTCTGACAGGGTGCTAAATCAAGGGCACTTTGCACAATACTTATCCAGTGATAAAGCTGTTCTCTACTTTTCTCCCTTTATTAAACAGGTACATTCCCATTACTTTCTGTGTACTTATCACCAGGATGAGAAGAGGTGAGATATTTCAGTTCCTACCTGACTTATCACGGGTTATTAAACAGCATTTTCTAGACTTTTCACTTTGCTAAGGTGAGAAAAGCCTTCTCACTGCTTATCACACGCTTTCACAGTTTATTAAACGTACACCAAAAACAGGAGCAGCTGTGCACAGCAACAAATCAGCTTCTCTCTTTCATTTTCAAATCTTAACTGAATAAACTGAAAAGTGAAGCTGATTGGTTGCCATGGGCAACTGCTCCAGTTTCTGTCTGCTCCAGTTTTGATAAATCCCCCCTAATGTACTTTCACCTTAATCAGTATATGCTATTGTATTAAACCACTGTTGATGCATGTAGTGTGTAATTATCTATGAACATGGGGTTAGCCATTTTGATCCTTCAATCTCACCACTGGTTAGAAACAACATACTCTTTGCAGTTATATGTTATAGTCAGACAATGAGACCAGAAACTGTCTAGCCTGACCACTGGGGAACAAGAGTTATTTTTCTACTCAAAAATAATGTGATTTGGTAATACTGGCACATGCTTCAATTATACATTTTAATGATAGATCCACTTTAAACCTGTATGTAGAAGCATGCATCAAGTAAAGCCAGAAGCCCTGATCTGAACATCCTGAAATTGGCAGACTAGACTACATATTTCTCTCAGTGCATGCTTCCTTTAAAAACACATACCTAGTAAAGCAGACATATTCTGGAAGATCCGGAGGAGTTCAGGGGTTACTAAAAGGCAATTTTCCAATGTTGCTAACCTAGAAATAAATACAGGAGATCATTGTAACATCATAGATGTGACAAAACTGACAGAACAGAGTATATGTACATAAACATGAATGTTCCCTGTACTCGCTGTTATTAGCAGTAGAAAGCCGGCACTGCAGTAAATGCCCCCCTGGTAAGTACAGATCCTACAATAGCAATTTTGTCACAAAATTTCCCCCACAGTGTCCTAGTTGGCAGATCACTGGATGAATCCAGATACCCCTTGTCCTCTATTGCCTGGGGTTCCCCACCCCGACACACACACACACACTTCTGGGATCTGAGATATACGGGTAAATAGATGTGTTTTTATAAAAGATGAAAAGAAAATGCTTTAAGGTTTCAAGTGTCATATATGCCTCAGTTTGGTCCTTCTGAAGAAGTGGATAGTATTTCCATGAAACGCGTTGAGGGAAAATTATGCCCCACCATCATGTTATTACTTACCTTGACATACAGACATTATATATATATATATATATATTGTATAATGCATTAAGTGACATTGGTGGGCCATCAACAGAAAAACATTTAGAAAAGGAAGGGCATTTTGTATGATGTCTTAAAGTGACACTAAACTAAAATTTCAAAACTGCATTCAGGCTCCTTAGGTATTAACAAAAAATGCACCTTATTTGTGTATCACTTGGCTGTAGATCCTGAAATTATCTCTGAATTGGTGCTGACACAATCTCACGTTTATATTACTAATTTGTATTGAGAGTGTAGTCCATCACAGGAGCGAGCTTGGAGCGGTGACTACTTTACAACACACAGGGACCATGAGGAACAAAAGTAGCCCCCCTCCAAAAGGAAGGACAGCGTCAGCGCCTATTCAGAGATGATTTGAGGATCTACAGCCGAGTGATACACAAATAAGGTACATTTTGGTTAATAGTTAAGGAGCTTGAATGTATTTTTAAGATTTAACTCCTGAGTTTAGTGTCACTTTAATAATCTATTTTTATACATATCCTAACAAATTGTACTACTTCATATGTGTTTGAATAAATCTGTTTGCTTTTCACCCACTTGATTGCCATAACAAATGTGGGCTCCAGTGGTGACATCCTGCTAACATAGGTTTAGTGACGGTTATGTAATTCCTCCTCTATTCCTCATTATATGGAAGAATAAATGCAACAAGACAATCAGTGGTTAAGTTACAAAGGTACACAAACTCTTCACCAAAGTCCTGAACGAAACAAGCAATTGGTGGGTGACCCAACTTTCAGCATCAACTGCAAATCAAAATATTTGCTGTTTGGTTATGTAAATGTTACCTTGTAAATGTACAATATGCAACAGCATGAGCAAACTGAAAAAGTGTTTTAAGTTTTCATAAAAGCAAAACAAAATAACAACAAAAAATGCATACATAAAATAGGTATAACGGAGCTCCCTTTGGCTGTTATGGGGATTGGCCACTGTCAGGGGCAGTCCCTAGCCTGTGATTTGATTTGTTTTGCCTAGTGTACTACTCCTGAAGGTGGCAATATAAATCAAATGGTCATCAATTTAAGATTTCTGCCATGTCCTTCAATTGATGGAAGGGACATTTTTTTTTTTTTACGTTTTCATAAAAGAAGCAAAACAGAATAGAAATAAATTCATACATACAATGAAATACAGATTCACTAATACTTATTTTTGTCATGATTTTTGGAAGTTCATGTTTTCCATGTCATTTCAATTGTTATTTTCACCTGGTAATCCCTCAATTAACACTCACCCTGTCTGAGAGTGACAACATTCACCCTATTACCCTATAGAGGATAAGGTTAAATGCACAAATAGTGGATTTATTGTTATGGGGTTATATTATTAGAATACTTATTATTTAGGATGTTTTATATTTTTCCTAAAGTCGAGTTAACCTTTCTCCAGTTATATATGTAATAACAACCTTTCAAAATTACAATATATACTTCCTTATCTCTTAGTGCAAGGATAATGGGTGAAATCTAAATAATCCAATCCTTTTCTTTAGAGGCAAATAATAGCAAAGGTAACAATGAAATCCCCAGCAGAATGTTGACATTTGCAGTCATATTTCTGCTGTTAGAGAAAACGCAATACGCAAGAGAGTTTCCCAGTCATCCATGATGGGGGAAACATTAGATAAACATGACCTCGGTTTCTGGATGTACGGAAACCATAAGCATTAGAACTGAATGAAAAGATGACCTTTGAGTGACACCATTTTTCCAGCCAGTGAATGTGAAATTCCTGAAGGGCTCACCAGTAACAGAATAATTGTCTTTTCCTTTAAAAATTAAAGCAAAACAATAATAGTGTCTTTTTAGCACTATTTTCCAGATGTGCTACTATCATTTCTAATGATCATTCAATTTAGAACTACAGTAAACTCTTCATTATCCGGCATTCAAGCAACCAGCAAAAAAAAAAAAAAATCGAGGAGGGGTTGCTTGCAATTTACTATTATCTCTTAAGCAACCAGAAACTACAGTTATCTGGCATCTACTGATCCCCATGGGTGCCGATAACTGGGAGTTTACTGTATGTATAAACTTCAAGTCAATAGTACAAAGAGGGAAGAAGCACGTGTTGGAAGATAACACAGAAAGCTCAAGTTTAAACGGGGAGATGAATCTAAAGGAGTTTTAAGAAATTTTAACAGGAAAAGGCCCGGGTATTCAAAGATGACCTGTGATAAAAATCCATAATTCCCTTTGATTGATTAGGACCCCTTTCACACGGGTGGTCCCATCAGGTCCGCTTATCAGTTTTTCAGGTGGATCTGATCAGAAGCTCAAGGTAATGTGCGTCTGTTTACATTCAATTACCCCCGACTCTAAAAACCGAACAGAGTGATTGTGATGGATCAGAGGTAATCAGATGTAAACATCCGCCTGCCCGCTTACATCCGCCTGCCCATAGACCTAACGTGGGTCTGGTTAGAGTGACATCTGTTCCATATTGCTCTGATCAACGGGGGATCTGTGAATGAATCATCTGCTAATCGGAACAGACACCTGTGAAAGGGGCCTAATATAGAGGCATGTGATCATTGTGACTTTGTGTGCCAAAATGATCTATGTTGTAATTTTACAAATACACATTTATTAGATGTACAGTGGTTTTGGACCCTCTAAGACATAAATGTTCAACAGCCAACCGTTCCAGCAAACTATTTTAAAATGTTGGCAACTATTTAAAATCAACATGAGATCAATTAGAGATCTCACAAAAAAGGTTTACATTTATGTTAACTGCAATTACACTTGCAGTCATTTTAAGAGCAAAGACAAATACTGGCACAATCAGCATGCTGGTGCTGCCCTCATCAGCTCGCCCACAGTAACACTGTAGACAAAAGAATTCACATATACATATAAACACATTAATAGCACAAATGATAAACACTCAACAATTATATCTCAGAAATCATCTGTATGAAGTTGATTTTTACATCATTACCTACAACAAAAAACAACAAACGTGAACTATATTCCATTTATTTATTACAGGTAATTTTATAGCATCATCAGTTTATGCAGCACTTTACATACTATTCATTTACATCAGTTCCTGTCCTCAAGGATCTAAGGGGTTCCATACACTGTGACAATTTCTGCCGGTTTTTAAGGAACCTGCCAAATATTTGCACAGTGTGTGCCGCTGTCTGCACCCTTTCAGGTGGCATCCTTCGATCTGCTGATCGAGGGAGCGGGCCGGAAAATCTTCGGACCATTCCCGGGCTTCATTCATGTTAGAGGTATTTTAAGTGGAAACGCTCAAGCCAAAGCTGAAATGCAACATTTAAACTAGGGATGCAGCGATACCAGTTCAGATACCAGTGCCGATACTTAGCATTTTCATGAGAACTACCAGGGTTGCAGCGGTTGTAGCTGGGACCTGGCTCTGGCGCTCCACCACGGTCCTGAAATCATTAGTCTGTATTGTTTTAGAAAAACCGTTACATGACAATAAACAAAACTGTATCAGTACTTGTATCTGCGAGTACTTTGGCAAGTATCAGTACTTGTAAAACTGGTATTGGTGCATCCCTTTATTTATATTTATAAAAACAAAATCATACATGAAAACAGAGATGTACAAATCCCAGGAGCTCCGTGTGCTCCTTACAAATGACAGCGGCCTCCTAACTTTTGAATTTTTCTCTAGTCTAGTCTTGGAGCTGGAAAAGTATCTGTACTTGTACCGAGTACGGTACTTCGTATCAGTGCATCCCTAATTTAAACCAAACATCTTGCTTTCCATTTAGCTACTGCTGTGCCACTTCAGTCCACCTCTCCTGGTGATCTGGAAACCCCTGATTATGATCGAGGAGATCTATTCCCAAACACACAAACTGCAAGCTACTTGAGTGTCTCTCACATACAGAAAGGCCAGAAGTCTGAATGTTATTGGTGACACAGGAAGCAAAGAGACGACGTTATACAGCTTGTGCTTCATAAAGTAAACTTCTAGTGACTCTGTTAGGTACCCCTTGGACTCTAGCTGCAGGGAATTCTAAAGGAATACAAATAGGCTAAATAGAGTGACTTCGCCATGGCTGCAGGGCTTGCTGAAAAACATGAGTAGCTTAGCTGACTCTATAATGGTAGCACCCACTTACTGGTTTCCAGTAGATCCTGGCATAGTGGTTAGCGCTTCTGCCTTGCAGCACTGGGGTTTGCCGCTTTGAATCCCGGCCAGGTCACTATCTGCAAGGAGTTTGCATGTTCTCCTTGTGCTTGCCTGTGCCTCCTTCTTGTACTCTGGTTTCCTCCCACACTCCAAAGACATGCTGGTAGGTTGATTGGCTCCTCTGTTAGTTGGTCCTCTATGTATGCATGTGCAACTATGTAAAGTGCTGCCTAAATTGTTGGCGCTATATAAATACCTGTAATAAATAAATAAATAAATCCTCACTACTTTGTCTGGTTCCTGCTCAACTAACGATCAGCGTGAGGCAACAAAGGAAGCCATTTCTTGCCTCTCACTGATCGTTTGTTAAGCAGCTAACCAGACAAAGTAGTGAGGATCTGCGGGAAACTAGTAAGTGGGTGCTTATTGGATTATTGTTGTCAAGCAGTTGTTCATGACTAGATGATCAGGCAGATGTTTTTCCGGATGATGGCTGCAGCTTAGAAAACCTGTTTAGACTGCTGTTCTTCCTCTGAAATAATCCCAGCCCCCCCCCCCCCCACAGAATAAACGTGAATGCTCAATGAAGCTGAGAGTTCATATTTATGGTGGTCTAAAAGAGGGCTATCAGATCGTCCATGCTTAACTGAGCATCCTCCTTGGCTCTCTATTGACAGGACATTTTTCATGGGTGACAGTTGAGAAGACTGTGAAACCATTGATTGATAGACTCCTAAGTATCGACCTGAAATTAGGCTGTCATTTGTATTATTGGGGCTACTAATAGATCTCTTTTGGAGCAGGAATAACAAACTTTGTTGCAGATTTTTACCTGTTTTGAGTTTTGGAGCTTAGTGGAGAGATTTCCGCACCAAAACCAAAAAAAGGGTGCCTTAAGCCCATGCGTTAATCGGGCGGCTCCATTCAATTAATGTACGGGCTTAGTGTGAACAGGCCCTAAAACAACAAAACCATCCCTCTGCCCTGTGCTGGGAACACTATCATGCCTAAACTTACTTTCAGTCACTCAGATCCCTGCCACTGCTACTGGTACTTCTCAGGATGGGGTAATAAGTGACACAACCCTATTCCCCCACAATGTAATGTTCAGGTCCCAAATTGCCAATCACCAGCATTGTCTTTCCTCTAATAATGGTGTCTTCTCTGCTGGGTTAAGCAGAGACAACTCAGAGAAGTATTTCAGTGGCCTTCATTATGAATGGGTCCCAAATTGTTGGCTGCAGTACTGAGAAATACTACGGAGTATAATGAACAGCGGATAGTGATGTCTGCTCTCCATAATAGATTGGCTCCTTGGACAATGATATATTTCCCTCAGCTGCCAATCCAAGCTGGAAAACAGAGGCCCTCTGGCTGTGATGAAACTACAAATGCCATCATGCATCTGCCTTTGGGAGTCATGCCCGTGGTGGGAGGGGCATATTTACCTACCCCTATAGAGAATGCATCATAATTTACAAGATCGATCAACAAAAGTGATTTTTATATTATAAAATACATGTTATTTTAGACTGCAGTAAGGAGATATTTTAATAAATCTCCATCTCCATACTGTAAAAGTTTCTAATATAAAAGCAAGCAATAGTTTGATCTTGGAGTAAACAGTATACTCAGTACAACCAAGTCAAGTCTAGAAACCACAAAGAAACACATGAAATCATTTATAAAGCAGGCCGAGGCAGTACAGGAAAATGCACGTTTCACATAAAGAATAATGACCCTCATTTTTAGTGACTTCAGATTGGCAGTTGGAGGTCAGTCGCCGCTAAATGCTTCCTGTGCGTCATACGCTAATAACAATTCATTACTACTGATTGTAAATATAAATCTTCCGGGTAATTTATTTATGTTCTGAATGCTAGTTGCTGGAGGGGGTGGGGGGAAAAGACGTAGCGTGTCTCCCTGTGAAAGCATTTGTCACCATAGAATCACTGCGTCAACCACACAGAGGAAAACAACCCAGGAAATAGGCACATAACTCACACGCGCAAAATGGCTCTTCAATAGCTATGACATTATTGCACTCGGCAAACATGAAATATGGAGAGAAAAATGCAATTCTCATACTAGATGTATAGATTCGAGAAACATGCACCAAGTGTGCTACTGGGCGTGTTGTTAACTGAAGTGTAACAAGCATAAAAGGAAGCAGGTTCCTATGGAAAGATCTGATGATTTTTCCAAATGACGGAGAAGAATATAAGATTTTAGGAGGGTACAGTGTAAAGGAAAGACTTATTTTACGGTCCATGGCAAATATATAATTTTTTTAATTTAGAAGACGGGAATAGTCAGCCCAGCTTCCCTGGGAAAGAAAAATATTCTCCATTCATAATCACCTACCAAAGAGTGAAGCTTAAGTGCTATTCCACTTTTGAAGCCAAATTGGGATAACAGCTAATTTATATTTGTTACAATTCCCCATTCACATTGCATAACAAAAACATTTAAAAATTGCTGCTTACATTTTTAAGTGATTTTTACTTGCATAAAAATCCTACCTAGCTTCCCCCCCCCCCCCCCATGTAATGTTAAGGAGGGGGCCGTGGGAAGTTATGTTTACTCTAATTAACCCTATCTGCACTGTGCTGGACGATTTTGTCAGTTGTAAACTAGCTCTGAACACTGCCTGTCCTAACAAAGGGTTAAATAAGCATTGTATGTTAATGAGAGGAAGCTCGATCTGTCCCTCAGTTTGACCCACTACTTTCACTTGTTCAACAGCTGCTGTGCATGTGCAGCGACGGTGCTGATGCGCTCTATCAAAAAAAATATTGGTAATATTGGTTTATCTGTATCGATAGGTCACTACCGTATTTGCCGGCGTATAAGGCGACTGGGCGTATAAGACGACCCCCTAATTTTTTAGTTAAAACATAGGTTTTGGGCTATACTCGTCGTATAAGACGAGTAAAGCCCAAAATAATGTTTAAATACACATTTGTCAGCCCGCTGGATGTGCGGTAATACTGTATGTACGGTAGCTTCGGCTACATACAGTCTACCGCGCTAATGACCCCAGTGCACCACATGATTTTAGACCACCCCACAGCATCCTGTGTCATCTAGTGACTCCAGTGCACCCCAGAGCATCCTATGTCACCTAGTTGTCCCAGGGCACCCCTATGCACCCTTTGCACTCAACAGCATACTGTGTTCTCTAGTAACCCCAGTGCACCCCGTTGTGTCCTGTGACTCCTGTGCACCCCAAAGTATCTTCTCATCTAGTGACTTCCCACTAATCTGTCAACCCGCTGGATGTGCGGTAATACTGTATGTACGGTAGCTTCGGCTACATACAGTATACCGTGCTGAGCCAATGAATACAAAGCCTGCTCGGATTGGCAGAGGTTGTGTACATCGCTCGCCGTGATTGGCTCAGCGCGGTATACTGAATGTAGCAGAAGCTACCGTACATACAGTATTACCGCACATCCAGCGGGCTGACAGATTAGATTGTATACCCGGCGTATAAGACGACCCCCGATTTTAGGGGGATGTTTTTAAGTATAAAAAGTTGTCTTATACGCCAGCAAATAGGGTATATTGCCCTGCTGAAGGGACCCTTTGTGGTCCAAAACGTTGGCTATTGTGATATATGTGACAATTTATCCGTATAAACCGACATTGTTATTTGAACGTCATCCTCTGAGTGCTGGTGATCCTCACTTTTTACGGTTTGATGTACACAGTGCCATCCGTGGTTATCACTACGAGCACCACCAATGTGATTTGGTCTGAGAAGCTGCAAGGAGTGCAGAAGGACTTACTGGCATACTATGGACAATTTAGGGTTTGGTAGTTTTGACATGTTTGGTGTCAATTTACCCGACGCGACCTCGTCTTTTATATTTTACCAAAAAATTGGGTATTAATAAATGTTACATAACTTAATATAGGGGAAACAGGTTGTTTTGTTTTTTTTTGCTAATTTCTCCTTAATATAGTAAAAAAAAAAAGTGGTGAAAAAGAAAGTTTCACCACTGTAGGTGTCCACAGTTTTTTTGTGTCCCTTCCCTTGTGCACAATCCTCCACTGTACTATTGTATTATAGCCACTTGCAGTTGTACTGTATAATGTTCCCCCGCGTATCCTTCCGCAGCTGAGCTCTGTGGAGGAACGATACACTAGGTGGTGTTGTTGTTTCAAGTTCGGTCACATGACTGGCCAAAAAGGGTGCTATTTTGAATCGGCACAAACGGAACCAAAGCAATAAAATGTAATTTTTGGATTTAGATATGTTTGTTTTAGCCTAACGTAAATAAAGTTTACAAAAATGTGTAAATGTTTATAACTGCTGATTTATGTACATGATAACACACGCTCTTGATGACAACATACTGAACTTGTCTGCTTAGTAATGTTGCACAAGGACTGTACACAGTCCCTTTTTTCAGTACAAATCAGGCTGACTAAAACCAACACATTTTGGGGCTAAGTATTAAATATAACTTCACAGTAATAGCTTCAATTTTGCAGTAAACTGAACATGCAATCTAGCTTGCTGGACAACAGAGTGAAGAGGGAACAGATGCCGGACTGTCATGGTGGAAACCGACATTTTTGTTACAGCTGGGTTAAAAAAAAATCAAAAGTATTCAAATGTACAAACAGAAATGAGATAGAAGATTCACACTTGGGTAATCCTAAAATAATGAAATCTTATCGCAGCTGAGACAAAATAATCACATGTGGAAGCTGCACTATTATCAGACATTTCTATTGACTAATGTGAAGAAGAGAACATTCATATTTCAAGCAGCTTACCATAATTCCAGGCCGTCTTCCAGGAGGTAGATGTGTGGTGGCTGGGACACGTCTGTACTCAGCTGAATTACAGGAAGCAGGAATGGATATACATTCTGGCTGTCTCTGCCTAAGCCCTGTTCCCAAAATCAAATAAAATCATTAAACCGCTGCTTCAATGTTTATGTGTTTATGAGGACTTTGTCTCTGTACTGTATTGCATCATGCAAAACTAAACCTTGCCATTACAATATATATTTCTGACAATAACGCACTGGCTTAATTTTACGTATGGGAAAATGCATCAAATGATTTATACTATAGAGGTAGTAATGCTCATGGAGTTCAGTTACCATGTATTTTATATCGGCATTGGACATATTGCTGAATAATCTTAAAGGAGAACTATGAGGTGAGCAAATTACACTCATCCCCATAGTTATAGCCGACCTGTGGCATTGAAACTGACGCACGTCTGCTCTATAGATCAGTAGGTGAGCGAACACATACACATACTGCCGCTCACTCACTTCCTGATCATCTCCCTGCAGAGAGTGGTGGATGTCAGTCACCGATCCCCACAGGGATTCCCCCGCTCTCCTCTCCAATCCTCCAGTGCTGACTGGAGGAACGGACAGGGGAGGGGGCAGGCCTAGCTGCCTCTAGATAGACAGTATTGTCGGGATCCGTCCCGGCTGCGGCGCTCTGAGCATATAGCGGGCAAAAGCCTGCCATATACTGGGTTGTGGGTCACGGGAGGACATTAGTATATGTCCTCTGGTGATCCTAAAGAGAACTATGGGATAAAAAGTTATCTTTTAACCACTTGCCAACCAGAGCAATTTCTCAATTTTAGCACACATGATCAAATCTGAATTTTTGGCCAGAAAACAGCATAAAACCTCCAAAACAATTATATATTTTCTGAAAGCAGAAGCCCTATAAAAAATAAAGAAAAGATAGTTGCAATTTTTTTATGTCACACGGTATTTGCGCAAATGTTTATCAAACCAGTATGTGTGTGATAAAATACACTAAAAAAATTTAGTGCACAGAAACAGAATATAGTTTTTCACTTAACTTTATTGCTAGCACATAGGGGGCTAACCCCCTAGCCCCTTATGTAATAGCAAAGAGGATGTGACAGATCCTCTTTATGGAGTCCTCAGGGGCCTATTAGGCCATTAATGTCACCTAGGTACCCCAAAGAAGCAATTTGCTTCAATAGCTTCTTCTCTGGCTACAGCAGTCGGAAAAATGACAGCCTGAAACCGGAAGAGATATAATAAACATCGCTTGCGGGTTCAGTGACTGGAGAGGAGTGTGCTGATCTCCCTCAGATCGTAGTCGACAGACCTGCCATGGTGGTCTTGGGCCTGCATGGGGGACAGCAGAGCCCAGTATAGTTGCCGGCTGTGCACACTCCCCGCCACTGTACAAGCGATCAGGCAGCTGTATAGCCGCCGGATTCCTTGTAAGTGAACAGCCATTGCCGGTTGTCTAAACCGCTATCAACGGTGCAGCAGCCGTGATCTTGGTATAACTGCTTTAGGATGCCCCCGTTTATTTACATTAGGCAGTCCTGAACCAGGTAATAGCCTCACAATTTTCTATGGGAGACACCTAACACCTATATATTATACTGGACTATGTGATTTCAAAATGTATGTAAACCCTAATAATGAACTTCTTATATTGGCATCCTTTTGGGCTCTTACCATTAAAAGCATTTTGTTATATTTGTCTGAGATAAGTGCTTTAAAAAAAAAAAGCTGTTGATCCTGCCAGCAATCCAATGAGCTCCTAATTACCAGCAGAGTACTGACAATACAACATAGAAATTCTAAACTAGCCCTGTTCACACTGTTCACACAATCTGTGGACTAAAAAGAAACCTTCCCTCCATGTTATGGAGAAGAGATTGGAGGTAGCGATTTGCAGGCCTAACGCACTTCCTGCCCTAATGCTGCTCCGCCATAAATACAATCCAGTGAGCATAAGAGGTGAAAATAAAGTAAACAAAGACTGAGAGTATTTTAGCACAGTCTATCACAACTTGCATCCCATAAGGCAGGTGTAGGCAACCTTGGCATTCCAGCTGTGGTGAAACTACAAATCCCGTCATTCTTGCAGTTCCTCATGGGATTTGCAATTTCACAAAACCTGAATTGCAGAGGTTGCCAACCCCTGCCATGAGGTGTAATAAATAACCTAAGAATAGATCATGTGAGGCACTTTATTAAATACAAGAACATCAGAATTTTCCGTCATTTACCTTTACTAGATGAACTAGTGTTGTTAGTATAGCACATCGTAGCATATTGTGCTCTTCGCTTTGTTTCCAGAGCAGAGGTAAGTATTGGACTAGGCAGCCAACGTAGGGCCTGATCTGGATTGAAATTGGTAAAGACATTGCGTTACAGATGGGTCATCAACACAGAATGCAAAATACAAACAGTACAAGTCAAACCAAATACTACATTGGGATATGTCTTACATTTGCAATCTTTAAAGACAGCTCTGCCTTTTTAAAGCGAACCTGTCATCAAGAAGTACGGGTGACCAATGCCTACTGATTTAAAGAACAATTTCTCTTATTGGTGTGAGAGCAATAAAAAAAACTGCTGCCAGTATAATGTGCAGGCTCCTAGATGTGTACATACCTCCAACATTCTCCCAAAGCTTGCAGACACAGCCAATAACTATTCTGACAAAAAAAGCTCACCCGGCAACGAAGAAGCTTGCCGCTTCTGGTCCATCACTATGATGGGCTGCCTCACTGTCCAATACAAATATGTACAAATAAGGTGGGAAAAGGTGAGGTAGTTTCTGCACTAACAGGAAAATGCCAGAGCGTTCCCAGTCCCAATGGCCTGCCATTCAGCCATAACTGCCTGCAGGCTTATGTTATATGCACCCCTAGGTACATTTGCTTTATATTCCCAACACTTTATTTTTTCCCTGACAGATTTCCTTTAATTTTCTAGCTTGGCATACCCATCGTTTGACTAAGTCAATGACCAGGGACAAGATGTTGTTTGGCAGTGCAGATTAAACACGGCGGCATGTGGACGGGTAGAATATTAAAACATATATATTAATAACAGCTCCTGGGTTTCTATAATTACAGGTTCAATTTAAAACAGAAGGTATTCACATTTGAAAAAATATTTCTTAGTTTTAGCATAGACATACATTTCTTACTGAAAAATGGGTAACTGCATTTGTAGCATGGCAGGTTCTCTTTGAAACAGAAGGTATGCACAACAATTGTTCCTCACATCACATACTAATAACTGCTGTCCCTGATCCTAAAATGTGGAGAAAGCTTCTCATCTTTTTTGGCTACATGAAAATAATAATAGTAAAAATAATAGTAATAATACTTCTATAGTTCTTTCCCCCTGAGGACTCAAAGTGTTGATCAGATTGGTGCTGGGAAACTTCAAGAGAAGGATTTTCCATGCGTCTACTTTAAAAAAGCATCCAGGGAGGGTGTTTTCTGGACAATAGATGATACTGAGTTCCATATTGTGTGTGCTGCATGGCAGAAGGATCAAAAGATGTCAAGACGACTCTGGCTACATGTCATGTTTCACTTTCTCTGAGGAGTAGAGGGAGCTTGAGTAACCAGAAATTAAGGCGCATAACCAGGCCCAAGTTATTTAGTGATTTATCAGTGAGAAGGAGGAATTTGAAGGATATCCTCTGGGGTGATGTGGCAGTGATGGGATTGGTAGGCGAGTGTCCTGGCTGCTGCATTCTGTACCAGCTGCAAACAACATAGTTCTTTCTCAGGGAGACCATAGTAGAGGGAGTTGAGTAATCCAATCTGAATGAAACAAAAGCATGGGCTAATTTTGGTATATCCTCTGCTAGAATCTGATGTTTTATTCTGGTAATATTCCTGAACAGGTGGAAGGAGGACCAGGTGGCAGATGATACCCGTTGTTTAATCGATAGGTCAGTACCTAGGTTCATGCCCAGGCTGCGCACAGTCTGAGAACATAAGAATTGTATTTCCAAGGTTTAAACCAGCTGGACGGGTTCGCTGTTTTTATTATCATCATACAGGATTTATATAGTGTCAACAGTTTGCGCAGCGCTTTACAATATAAGGAAGATATTACAATCACAATACAATTCAAGACAAGATGGTAAGGGGGGCCCTGCTTGTGAGGGCTTACAATCTAGCATCTGTCCTTCAATTACAAGCCTTTCTGTGTTGTCTGGGTTTAATTAAAGCCAGTTACAGTTCATCCACTTGTGTGTTAGTAAAACAAAACCTGAGTTCACAAGGTCCTCAGCATCTGGTTTGAAAGACATGTAGCTTTGTGTATCATCTGCATAGCAATGGAAGGTAAGACCCTGGCGTTGGATGATCTTTGCCAATCGAATCACATACTGTATATTGCAAGTAACATTGTGAGAAAATTGAGCCCTGTGGCATCCCGTAATGTAATGGAAGTGAAGAGGATGAGTGTATTCCTGCTGTTACCCTTTGTGATTTCCCTGACAAGAAGGATTAGAAGCAGCTGAGCAATCTAGAACGCAAAGTAGCTTTAAGGGATCCTGTAAGCTGTTATGGCCCATAGTGCCAAACGTGGCTGAAATAACAATTAGGATAACGATGGAGCATCCTCACTTGTCTCTAGCCATTTATAGGTCATTTAATAAGTGGACCAGGACTCATTTTGTACTGTGCTTTTTTCTGAAGCCAGATTAAAATCTGTCAAAGCAGTATTGTCAAATATGTCAGAGAAGGTCTTTTTTGGTTGGTTTTGGCCCAAATACCCAAAGACCTGTACAGGTGTATTGCCTTACTACTCTCAAAACCATGGCTTCCTCATCCTTACACTGTGGAGAGCTAAGATGCTTAAAACAAGTGTATGCAAGTTACATACAATAATCTATTTCTGGACTGTATCTATGCCAGTGTGGCTATACAAGTCCCATGGGGCACTGCAGGACTCTGACAGTCACAGACAAGACCCCCAGAGGGCTCTGCATGATGGGATTTGTAGTTCCAGCACTCATTCGTGACACTCCTAGCTCCACCCTACGAGTGATACGTCTGTACGCGACTTCGTCAGGAGTGTCACAGATGCAACACGCGTAGGGTGGAGCTAGGAGTGTCACGGACGAACGCTGGTCACGGACCATACAGCGGCTGCGGGAATTTTTTTATGTGATTTTTTCATGTATTATATGTGGGTAGTTTTTTTTTTATAAAGTGTTTTTTATAAGAGACAGTCTGCACTACGAATGTTTGTTTTATCTGTTGCTGCATGGGACTTTGAGTATATTCAACCTTTAACGTTGGGGTAATCGGCAGAGTTAGCCACTTGGCTTACCTGGTCGATTCAGCAGAGGAGTCTAAAAGAAAGCGGGAGTTCTTTTATCAGTGGATTCGCTGAGGGCTTTCCTCCACCCAAGCTATAAGGAGGAACAACGCTTTCAGACCTGAACTTTGGGTCTGCATTTAAGGTGAGCTGCACTCCTGAGCGTCTTCATGGGTGAAGGTCACTGAAAGTTTTGCACATGTGAAAAAGATCCATTGTTGTATTATCACATTATGGTGAAGAGTTTTGGACTGTTTTAAGTGTAAAGAAGCACTTTGCATTGACACTTGTTGGATTAACAATTGCATTGCATTTTATTTTTGTATTTGATTGCTGACACTATATTTACCTTTCATACTCTGTGCTATTTTTTGGCTTGTTTTTTCACTTTTCTTTATTAATATTTACAGCGTGGCCCAATAGGTACAATTTTCTATATTTAGTGTTTTTTTTACACTGGAGTAGGGCTGCTCCTTTACTGCTTAGCAGGCGCAAAGCTTTAAAAAGTTTTAAGTACCTTACCTATTGACAAAAATGTATCTTATTTGTGTATCACTCGGTTGTAGATCCTGAAACGATCCCTGAATTGGTGCTGACACTGTCCTTCCTTCTGGAGGGTGACTACTTGTTCCCCATGGTCCATGTGTGTGTGTTGTAAAGTAGTCACCGCTCCAAGCTCACTCCTGTGATGGACTACAAACTCATGCTTAGTTTACTATTTTGTATTGAGATTGTAGTCCATCACAGGAGCGAGCTTGGAGCGGTGACTACATTAATATACTAGCAGAAAATAATGAAGTTACCTAGCTGTAGCATCAAGACCCCAAGAACTTTCAGAAATGCACTTCTAACCCTAGAAAAACCTTTTATGACCCTCTTAGATCATTGCAAACAATGTATAGACGTTACAATTAAAATGAATTGTTTCCCAAGATATGCCCCTTTTCTTACAGGAAACAATTATGATAAAGTACAATGTGAGCTGGGATCCTAATAGGCAATACTCTTGGAAACATACTGTGAATGAAAAAACATTTACACTGCCAATTTGTTAGGACAGGGAGGCATGAAAGATTACAATGTAGCACAAAGAGCCGTCTGAACCATAAGTAAAAATCTGAATCGGATAGAAAACTCAACTCTGGCATATAAAGTTCAACAGTTAAGGACACTGGGCATGCTACCTTTATAGATGTGCACAGTAATACGCAATGTCCTCCTGCCCAGTTGCCACTTTTCCTATCGCACTCGCTAGCGATTCCTGGCGGTCAAACTGACAGCAGGGAACTGTTGTGTAAATACAATAGCTGTAGAAACTACTGCTTTAAAAAAACTGACCTTCTAATGCAGTGCTTTTAAAGACCCATAAAGATAGAGAGATACAAACTAACTGTTACTTTTGTTTTTTCTGTTTCATTCATATGAAGATCAAAGGAATGAGCTTCAATTTACATATGATGTCAATTAGGGCTTGTTCACACCCTTCCACACATGCCGTGCCATTCATTTGTTTTCTCCACAGTTGTTCTGCAGGTTTGCTGACTGGCGGTGACTTCTGGTGAGCTGCGGTTCATTGAGGGAAAAATGGAGCATGTATGCTTTATTGTGCAAGACAATGAAACTCATCTCAAGGTAGCAACAGGGACAAAGAATAATCAAAAATAATCACATTTGGTTGCTTGCAGCCTGAAATGAAGACGGACACAGTTTTTGATTTATCCAGCTGTATTTACTGACATGTTAGTGTTCTATCTTTCACTTGGATGTTATAAGTTGCACTGAGTAAATACAGCTGGATAAAACAAAAACTGTGTCTGCCTTCATTCCAGGCTGCAAAGCAACAACATGTGACTATTTGTAAGGGGTTGATTCTTTTCTATAAACACTGTACCCCTAGCTTACCCTAATTGGTCCTAATTAACTTTCTTTCTCTTTTGCTATTCTTTTCCTGGCAATTTTTTTTCTATTTTAATTTTTCAAACCATTACTAGCTAAACTAAAGTTAATTTTAAAAAAATGGAAAAAAAAAGCATTTGCAATGATCTGTACCCAAATTAAGTAATTTTAAACAGTAAAAATAATAGCATAAAATATATACTTTTTATGTACAGTAAAACTATTTTTTTCTAAGATTTTTTCTTTTTGTCTATGAATTGCATAAAAAAATTTATTTTGGAAGAGATTATCACAAAAGTAATGACAAAGTTATTAACAAATAAACAGGCCCAAGGCAGATCAATAAAATTGCTCTGGTCTATAAGGGTTGTACAGGTGTGAGCTGCTGAACTGGTTAAATTACAACTTTGAATTTTTCTCGGTAATGATTCAGATTGGTACTTTCCTGTCTGCCAAGTCTCCATAGTGGTCAATTAGGCCACCCATCATATTAAGGGATCTGGAGGCTTGACTTTTACAGCGAAAAATCAAGTTTTGCACACAATGTCAGCTGCTTACAACTCTTGCCCTACTGTTTGTTTTGCCATGTGGTTTTCACTGAAAGTTACCTCTGTCTATGTACTTTTTTCAGCATATGTTCAGTTTAAATTGCCCGGGCTGACAGGTGTACTTTAGTCTTTGCAAATATGGACTGAATTATATTTCCTGGTACCTACACAGAAACATAAAATGACGGCAGAAAAACACCAAATGGTCCATCGCGGCTGCTCTCTCTTTTTTTTTTTGTCTAGACCTATGTTAATCTCAAGCATGTTTATATTCACTTACTGATGACTGACCCACAACATCTGTTGCTTCTTCTGTTCCAAGTATTAACTACTAAGTTTTAAGCTTTCCTACAGCTCGATCGAGGACATGCCCGTGTTTTTGATTTTTAGCTCCATATTGGAAATACGGCCTTACTGAATAGTTTGTTATGTACAGCTCTGTCTGAATATGTGAGTAAATTCATGACTCCAAATTACATCCAACAACAGTGAGGTATAAGGCCTAGCTCAAAATAAGCCATACAATATTATACTATCTTTTGTTCTTCTGGCACATTGATGACCTGATAAATATTGCAATGCACACATTGTTAAACATTGTTTTTTTTATGGGATTTCCATTGCAAGGAAGTCTAGGATGAAGTGGAAAACTTGACAAAAGCAGTTCCAGTTTTGTCGTATTGTGGGAATAACGTACACACTCATGTGCCCTCCATACTTGTTAAATAGTGATTCATACTGCTCAGGCAAGGCTCAGAAGGCCTTTCCAACCAGTATATGACTCCTTTACTTTCTGACTAGCAGGCTTTCTATTGAGACCTTTGACCTTCATTTGTACAGACAGTGCTACTGGCATGATGCTTTCTAAATCAAAAAAAAAGCAGGAATAAACCCCACAGGGAAGTCAAAACTAGACATGGAGTTGAATTATAAAGCAATGCATCATTCCCTTTGTGAAATAGATTGAAATCAAAGAATATGCAGCATGTGCCCAGATACTTTTCTAATAATTATCCAAACTATTCCAAGAGTGATAGTCACCTGCACATTGACCCTCTCTATGACGCATGAAAGCACATGGAGAACCTGCATTTTTGTGTCACATTCTGTAACTTGCTGAAGTAGTTGAAAAAGTAGTTGAAACAATGATTCCAGATACTGAAAATAAGAAAAAAAAAATGGTTGTATTAGTTAAAGAGAGTCAGGCATACAGGTTACATACAGTCTAAATACGCATTCTAGACTGTATCATTTTGTTTTAAAGCAATCCAAAGTGCTAACACTACATAATTGTAATATATACTAATGCAATCAGAGCCAATTGCCCCATTCCTGACTGCAGGTTTCGGTGTGTTGTGGGTGCAGTGCATTAGTCCTGCTTGCTGCCTCTGTGATGCATTTCTCAGTAATGTGTTACATACAGCTCAATTGTAAACAAGGTAAAATGCATGTAAAGCACGCCTAAAATGTGCATACGATGCACTGCCTCTAAAACGTCAGGTTTATAGGCAGGAGATATGAGAACAATTAAACGCCAGGAACTCATTGTCAATATTAGTAGCCTTAGTACTGTGCTGGCTAGCGCTTAGTTAGCTCTGCCTCAAATATCTTCTTACAGAAGCATGAAGTGTTTTGACAATATAAAAGGCACATTTAACTAGCATACTGAATACTACTCTGTAAAAGAACACACAAAATAAGGAGAAAAGGTGATGTAACTGCGATCAGCAAAGCTTAGCAGATGTGATCAATAATGTCTATGATGTGGTACTCCACCCACCAGTAATGTAAACATTTTTAACGCTTGGGAAGGTTGCTTACTTAGGATGAATAATCTAGCCTTCATTAAGACATATTATAAGTAGATCGAGAGCAAAGATATTAAAGTAGCCCCTACCTTAGTAAAGGGGGGACTCTTGTCAACACTCCCTAAAATGTGGGACTGGATTGGAAAAATGGTACAAATTGTAGAACGTTTTTACTTTTATCAGTTACATTGTTCATTTGAATTGTTGGACCACTTATTAAAACATTACTACTACGAATTTATTCCTTTACTTTTTACCTTTCAGAACGTGCCAATGATATTAGATACATCAACAAGTGAAGTAGAAAACCCATTAGGTAGCAACAATGTTAGTGCTAAGCACACAAATACCTTTCCTTCCTTTAAAACTAGAGTGAGAGATGGACAGATCAGATCTCATAAGAAATCAATGATATCTACAACAAAAGATGACTTGTCTCTATGGCCACTAGGCAAAGAGGATGTCTGTGAAGGATTGAATTAAACTAGTACATGTCCTACTTTTTTTTCTCCCTTTGCTGACATTCATGTTTGACCTGCAGCAGTGGGGATAGTGGATCTATTACAATGATGACCTCTCATCTTATGATGTTCTTGCTCTTTGTATTGTTACTTCCCCAAAGAGTAACAGCACAAAAATGGAATGTCAATCATTTCTTCCTATACTAAAAAAAATATTAGTTTCCAGTATGTTGTATATACAAAACGTCAACATATCTAGTGCTACAAGATTAACATCTCTATAAAAATTTTTTTTTACAAAACTTACCGGCAGGAATTGTTCTGTTCTGAATTCAAAATCATCAACTGGTAAGAAAACGCATTAAGGACTATTTTACAATTTCTTTCAAAAGGAACTAAACTCTGGAAGCTGTCACAAAAAAAGGCCAGGCATAAAGGCAAGAAGTAGTCTCCAATTCTGCCTGTGGTCTCCCTGCAGCTGATCTTTTTCCCATTACTGACTTACCATGCTTTGTTCTGCATGTGTGGAGTTGGCCATCTTGGTAAAGACAGGGTTTTGATGCCTCATGATAGAGCCGCCAGCAAGGAGAACAGTGAGCAGCACAGTAATGACATCACCAAATCTCACTCCAAAACACATGAAACAAGTAGTCAGCGGCAGCAGTGCATGAGATCTCACACTGTAAATAAACAGTAGGCTTAGGAGTGCCTATGGCAATTCCAGACAAAAGGTTTAGGGTACTGCTTGGGCACAAGTTCACTATAAGATAGCAAATGTTTACTGTTCTTAGTTTAGGTCCACTTCAACATTCAAAAAATATAAACAAACCCCTGCTGGAAAATTGGTCTGATGTTAACCTAGCTACACTGGCCATAAATGTATGCATGCAAATGTTGAATAAGTGATCTCTATGGCATTAGGAAACAGAACTGCTTTAATGTGGGGTTTCAATTTCTACCCCAGCCAAGAGTGGCTACACACTTTTTTTAATGCATATGAGTCAGCTTGCTCTCATGTTGTGTAATAACAATGCTATATCTTTTCTTCAGTCAATATTAGATTACAATCATTACCTTAGAAAGTCATTTGCAATATAAAACTAGTAGGTATGACAGGGCGTAGTAACGTCTGGACATTGGTTCTCTCTTTAGTTCTCACCATGGAAACTTAACTGTGTGACGTTCGTATGTCCCCTTGTCTTTTCATGTAAATAGAACGTTCTATAAAGTGATGAGTAATCTGTGAGCACTACATAACTATGGATGGTCAGATATTCTGTTATCATATTTCACAGGTTTTGAAAAATATGGTGTGAATATAAAATGCTAGGCAGTGCTTTCAACATCCACAGTCTACATAAATAGCACCAAAGGAAGCTTAATTAACATGTGAGCAAAAGCAGTCTCTTTAGCAAGTTCACTGCAGATGGCCCTGGCCAGTGTTATAAGACCTGAAGTAACACTAAGATTGGGTCATCACAAATTTAACTGTGGATTTATTCATTGGGGCTGTGACCAGCTGCAGAGTTGTCCCCCTCCCACCCCTTTTAATACTTGAAACTGGATCTAGACCATCTGCCAAAGCCTTTTTAAATCCATAATTCACAATAAAAAATGCAGCCAATTAAGCAAAATTCTTTCAGCTGCAACAGGAAAAGTAAACCTCCAGGATGGGTGAGGAGGAGACAGCATTTGCAGTAAGAAGATCTCACTGTTGCCTTCCCAAAGAAAAAAGAAAAAGCTATATATCGGTTTTGGATGGACTGCCACTTTTCACAATTTAAATACAGTCAGTGAAACAAAATGTGTTATTAAATGTCCAAATGGTGAAATTGTTAATCTGGTCCTCTCTAAAATTGTGTGCAGCTTTAATTATAGTATTTTTGTAATATGAATAGGATGAAATAATGACTTTCTTTGCCAAGCATTACAACAGAACCTAAACTACTAAAAATGTGGTCATCCAACATTCAACACATGCTGTTTTGCTATTTTTATTGCTGTTTACTTGCTGATCAATTATTTCTATTTTCAGATGCTTAACTCATTCATACGGCCAGATAACTGATGCTACCCAGCAGGTGTGGATTGTATTTTAATTAGATTGGCATTTCCAAATGGACCAGTATATTTCTGGTTTCAGAGATAGTCAAAGGATATCCAGCTTCAACGTGGTTGCTGTCTCAATGCGAACCTGCAAGACAAGAATTAAAGCACAATAAGCAACTGTTACTGCTGGTTCCTATGTTGGAATTCAAGTATTGGATGTGAAGTACATGATATTAAAATTAGTAGACAAAGCTGAAGTTAAATGGGTTATCCAATAATCTTCTCCCTTATAACTGTTCATTTCAATAGATGGTTTAAGACACAGGCCCAGACTTCATACAATCCTTGGTTCACTCATGGAAATGAATGAGCTGAAAGGTAGACATTGTTGAGCCGCACCCTCTTTGTAAATTAAGGAAAAGTTTACTGTTTTCCTGGATAACCTTTGGAAGAACAATGGCTGCACACATATGGCTTTATAAAAACAAGTGTTGCTCCAAACTTTCAGTATCCCTACCATTTATTGGACAATTTCTGATGTGCCACTTCTATACAGAGAAACCTAAACTATCAATAGAGTACTGAGCATGTATCCTTGCTAGCACTGGGCAAGGTGCGTGGCAGGTTCTGGCACTCTGCAGAATGGGCAAAGAGGTTATCACATTGTTCTTGGGGATGCATCTGCCCATCTATAGCCTTGGGGTGAGTACCCGTCTACCTCTATTCTGATACCTCCTTTTCAGCTGGGGAGCTCTGTTCCTTCACCTAGTCAACTGGCAGGACAGAACAAGCAATCTGAATACTGCATATATCCAAACAAGAGCAAATTTAGTAGACTATTCCATCTAAGATTATTCTATGACTTTTGCTGGAAGTTAAGACCTAATTTATTTATGAAATACTAACAGCCAGCATACAATTCCAAAGGTACAGACAAAAACAGAAAAAGTAACTTACAAGAGGTACAATGTGAGCATACAAGAATAGCCACATGCCCTCCTTAAACACGTCAGCTTAAACATAACAGCAAATACCCACCAACATATGGTAGATAGGAAAAAAACTGCGCTAGGAATCAAATAACACTCTAAAGGTGCCCATACACTGCTCGATTCTCGTACGAGAATCGAGCAGTGTGAACGAAGACGTGCGACCGTTTCTACTGTACGGTCGCACGTCTTCGTTCACACTGCTCGATTCTCGTACGAGAATCGAGCAGTGTGAACGAAGACGTGCGACCGTTTCTACTGTACGGTCGCACGTCTTCGTTCACACTGCTCGATTCTCGTACGAGAATCGAGCAGTGTGAACGAAGACGTGCGACCGTTTCTACTGTACGGTCGCACGTCTTCGTTCACACTGCTCGATTCTCGTACGAGAATCGAGCAGTGTATGGGCACCTTAAGAGCAGCTGTGCTTAATAGGTGAGTGCACCCAAAATAGGAAAAAAGAAAGAAAATAGCACTGCGCTTCAAACTCAAAAATTATATTCCTAAAATGTGAAAAAATTGTATGAAATGTGAAATGATAAACAATTTTGTGTTATACACAACACCTGTGTTGCACAATGTCTGTGCTGATGATGGTAAGAAAAAGCTCTAAGTCTAATGGTCTAGACACTATAAACCATAATAAACATGGGGGAAAAAACGTGCTAGTACATCTCATAAAATGTGTACATATAGAAAATGCTGTGTTAAATCTCACACAAAATGCATACTGTCGCCTCTGCAGACCGTCGCCTCAGAGGAAGTCAAAAGTGACGAAATGCATCAGGTGGGCGGATCTATGCGAGCATTGCAATCATAGAGACAGAAGCTCCAGTGGACACAATCCATGTGCAATTGCCATATTTTAATTGTAAGTGCATTTTAAATAATTTTTTTCTGACATACTACACTACTGCGCTGTATAATTTATTATTGCTGGGATTTGTAGTCCTCTATAACTGGTGGTATTCTCCATTGCGCTGTATAATGATTATACGGCGCCATGCAGAATACCACTGACCAGTTATAGAGGAACTACAAATCCCAGCAATAATACAGTATACAGGGTGTTTAATGTATTATTGCTGGGATTTGGTGTTCCTCTATAACTGCTGGTGTTCTGCATTGTATTGTGCATGGTATCCTGCATTGTAGTGTATTATGCATGGTATTCTGCATTGTATAATATGGTGGCACAATGCAGAATGCCACCAACTAATATATATTCTGGTCAGTGGCGTAACAACCGGGGGGGGGCGCCGGCCGAAAATGGCACTTTTGGCTAAAAGCAGAAAGTGTCATCTTCCTGCAGATACATCGGTGCGGTGCATCCGTGCTTTCCTTCCTCCCCGCTGGGCGCTGCTCTGTGTCCACCTGCCAATGTTACATTTAGGGCATGTTCACCCAATATATAGTGCATCTATCACGATTCACTGCTGGAATGCACTGTATCGCATCCTGGCCGACTCCCTGTGTTCTGGGGTGGGAGGGGGCTGGTGAAGATAATGGCACTGCAGCCACACACCCTGCAGCATTTTTTCTGATCGCACTGGACCTGAACGCAGGCATTGATGTGCCACGCATTCTGGTGCGGGCGATCGCACTGCAGGCATGGCCGCAGTGCCACTGACTTCAATGCACCGCCAACTTCAATGCACCGCCACACCCCTTCATGCCCCAGAATGCAGGGAGCCAGCTGAGATGTGATACAGTGCATTCCAGCAGCGAATCGTCCTGGAATACACACTGTATAAGCTGTGAACAAGCCCTTAGACATAGTCAAGTAATCTACTGATCTTTAAAAGATCCAGGCAACAAAGAAGACTGATAACCAGCTATGATTAAGCCCATCTGTGAGTGAAGAGGAGTTTCCCAGAAAAGGATCTCTGTTGTATTAGGTCCAATACAATAAAATTCCTTTATCTATGTTGGAATAGTCTGGTGTGCAGCCGGTTTCTTTCTTGTGTGAAGAATCAGCTTGCTGATATCCAGAAAACACTGCAGCGGTGTTAAAACACAGACATGTTCACACAATCTACTTTTAATATGACATATATACAACCTGTTCTAGCCATTTTTTTAAATGCTTTTTTACAGTCCAGCTCACTGCAGGCTCCAGTCACATAACTAAGCTCTGAAACCTCCCACTATTAGAAATATGACGGAGTTGTCTGGAATCAGGCCCCGTTTCAAAGAAGTCTAGCAACTAGACACTCTGTAAGCTGTTAAAAATGTGAGATAAAAATTACAGCAACTCAAAGACTAGGCTGTGTCCAATCATTACATCTACAAAATGTTATTGTTCGACTAGGAAATTCGTCTAGCATGTTGTCTTTCGCTTCCTATGAACACAAGAGTAATGCATTACGGCAACAGAAGAAACCCTTGTCAACACCAATTAAAAGGAACACAAAGATAAACATATGTAATCGCCGGCATTATAAAATCTCAATGCACAACACAATCTGCACCTTGCTCCGCAGTGAGTAACATCAAGAGCTCCCGTTTCTGCTGTCATTTTATTTCTAATAAAGATAAGATTGCATGAAATTCCCACATCAGCAACATTATAGAAAACAATACCAAGTAGCGAGCGTTGATGATTTGGAAGGCATTGGTGTGGCAGTTAGCTCACCGGCACATAGAACTGCTCCAATCTCTCTCTGAGATTTAGTATTAAATAAGCAAGGGACTGAACTCCAGAGGGGATATTAAAGGGCATTTAATACATATTTATACAAAAAAAGAAAAGAAAACAGCACGTGAACATTTCTATTAAAGTGCCACTAAATTCAGGAGTTAAATCTTAAAAATGCATTCAAGTATCTTAACTATTAAAAGCAATGTATTTTATTTATGTATCACTCAGCTTTAGATCCTCAAATCATCTCTGAATTGTTGCTGACACTGTCCTTCCTTCTGGAGGGTGGCTACTTTTGTTCCCCATGGTCCCTGTGTGTGTTGTAAAGTGGCCACCGCTCCAAGCTCCATGATGGACTACAATCTCAATACAAATTAGTAAACGGAACGTAAGATTGTAGTCTATCATGGAGCTTGGAGCGGTGGCTACTTTACAACACAAACAGGGAGCATGGGGAACAAAAGTAGCCACACTCCAGAAGAGTGAATAACCGAGCCAAAGTGAACAGAGCCGAATGAGGTTCGGCTATTCACTCCAGCTCAGCACGGCTGATTTCAGCCGTACATCAGCTCTGTACGGCTGCCTTTGGGGCAGAGGGACTTCGACTCAGCCGACCCTACATCTGGAGCTCCGGCAGCTCACTCACTGCCGTTCTCCCCTATTCTTATAGGGGTCGAATGGCAGTGAGCGAATAACTGAATGCCTCCGTGGTACCGAGCCAAATAGAAAATAAGTGAAATAAATGTAAAAAAATGGAAAAAAAATGAAAAAATGCCGGCAAAATAAAAACAATTGGAGGGTGGCTACTTTTGTTCCCCATGATCCCTGTGTGTGTTGTAAAGTAGTCACAGCTCCAAGCTCCCTCCCGGGATGGACTACAATCTCATGTTTAGTTTACTCATTTGTAGTGAAATTGCAGTCCATCACAGGAGCGAGCTTGGATCAGTGACTACTTTACAACACATACAGGGATCACGGGGAACAAAAGTAACCACATTCCAGAAGGAAGGACAGTGTCAGCACCACTTCAGAGATGATTTAAGGATCTTTAGCTGAGTGATACACAAATGAGGTACTGTTTTCAGAGTGGGGTCTATTTTAATACATAACACACTAATGGCAAAGATGAAAGAGCCAAATAGTGCGTATAATTTACAGGGATAATATAACATTACAATCTATTCATTAAGCTTTTAATACACTTTTCAAACACCAGCCATATATACTGTATATAGCGCAATGCAAACATTTCCCAATACGCAGACCAACTGGTCAGCACAAACACCTAATTAAACATTTATAACATCCCAAGGTAAAAACAAAGGTTTTTGTTTTCTACATTTTCAAATATAAGTTGGGGACACTGTAACTCATTGGAAACTGGAATCACAGCAAATTAGATAAACGTGTTTATACAGCATGTTTATCCAATCAAATACTAAGCTTATCTTTCGATGCAGAAATGAATGATATTCCTAGCTTAGTGTGCTTGTGGCAATCCCCTTTTTCTAATGC